ATAGCTATCCACATATATACATAATAGTAATTTGACCCACAATGCACAAATGTGTACATTCACCAATTTTAGAAACCTCATTATTCTGAGCCTATATTATTTTCAAAAATATATGCTCCAGTTTGAAAGGTGAAAAGTTATATATTCATTTTATTTTTCATTGTTATTTGGTCCATTTTTTCAAATTACTCATTTTTTCAGTATAAAAAACTTCTTTTATTATAAATATGTTACAAATATTTTTCCCAGTAAATCACTGACTTCCAAATTTTCTTTGTGATATGTTTTCAGTGCACAAAAGTTTTTTATCTTTTGAAATACCATCAGTCCTTTCCATCATTGTCTCTGCCTTAACACTATAGTCACTTAAACTTTTTCTAAATTTATTAGTTTTCTACATTAAATTTGAATCTGCCAGGAGTTTATTTTGGTTGAAGTTATACAACAGATGCCTACTGTTCCAGAAGGTAGGCTACTTTGAAGAGTGCTTTCTTACCTGGGCATCATATTTCACAGCAGCTGAGAGCAGAGCAATAGCATTCTCCTCACAGATTCCTTGCTTGATGGTTTGTTGGCAGAGCTTTTTCAAACGATTTTCTCTGTAAAATGTAGCCAAATCTAGCAATCCTGAAGGAAAGAAGTGTTTATTGGCAGGCACTTTTAGCATCCTTACCACTCTACCAAAGATGATTCTGACATTCTTTTGAACGGCACACTCAGTGAAGTGCGGTGTAAACAGGCATACACTGACTTATGCTTTGAGCGTACGGCTTGAAGAAGGTAGCCAAAATGAATAAATCTATTACACAAATATTCAGCTGTTGAAAACAGGAGCAAGCTGTCCCATTTCAAACACACTTATTCCCTCAGTTTTGCACTTTCTGAAGCAGCTCTGGAAATCCTCTTTTGTGAGTGTCTTTACAAAGTGTGATAAAAATACAGTCAATGCTGCTGCCAAATGCTGCCCATCAGAAAGACAGGATCATAAGGGTCAGGGATTTAGCTCAGTGGTGCTGCCACCTGCCTCACAAATGCAAGGTCAGAAGTCTGATCCCTGGTACCAAAAAAAAAAAAAAAAAAAAAAAAAAAAAAAGCTCATAAGTACACAGCATGTCCTTATCCATCTTATTCATTGGATCTAGCACCATCAACTTCTCAGTCTTCCCCAAAATTAAAATGAGCACGAACAAAAGGTAAATGTTTTTTAATAAACTCAGCTCATCAAGGCAGCCACAGAATGCAACTAAAGACAATCATGAATAAGGACTCTACAACTGCTTTAGAAAGTGGCAAGACTGAGGGGATTAGTGTGTTTGAGGCAAGTGGGAATATTGTAAGGAAGATTAACAGCAATGTGTCTTTTCCTGTAATAGAAAATTTTTAAATTTAAACTTTCACTGTATTTTTAAATATACCATGTAACTAAATTTTTAGACACGTATAGGCCTCCATTTGGACTCTTGCCCAGGGTGCTGCAAATGTTAGGGGTGGGCCTACAAAACAAAAACAGTCACCAAGTTGTTTACTAAGCAGCTTAAATTTCTTGGAGCTGGAAGCTGGCTTTTCAAAGTCAAGAGTAAAACCTGTTTATATCCATCTGCCTCATCTTCGCAAATGGCTCATTTATCCAGCTACTCAAGCCAAACACCTTGGCAAAATCATGCTCCCTCCCCTCACACATCAAGTCCCATCCATCACCAAATCCTGCCAGCTGCACCTTCAAAGTATATCCAGAATCTAAGCTCTTTGTAACACCTCCACTGCTACACCTTCTAACCCTAGATAGCATCATGTTGCACCTGAACCATTTTGTAATTACTGATATTTTGAAGCGAATCATACCTCTGCTGTGGCGGAAGTGGTGAGCTGTCTCTTCCCTCTACCCCAACAAACACACACACACAGTTTAGGTTCAACACACACACACAGCTCCTGATCACCCACGTAACAACTTTCTTTTAGGCTCTACAGAAACCACCTTATCAGTTACTTGCCATTTTTCTAATTCCTTAGTAAAGTTTCTGGCAATTACCTACTGCCTCTTCCGGAGAAAGACTGATGCTGTCTGTGTACAGATACTCCAGGAAGGCTCGGTATACAGGATATGAAAATTCACTCATTTCTACTGTATCATCCTCACTGTCTTCCAACGAAGAACGAAAATGCTCACACCTGAAAAGAGAAAGAAGCAAATTAAGTCCCAATTCTGGGCCAAAGCAAGTCTCAGAGGAGCACAGCCTTTCAGACACCTCCACATCTGCTACAGTTTTGATGCTAAGTGTCCTCTAAAGGCCATGTGTTACAGGTCCCCAGGGTGATACGTTAGGGAGGTGGTGGAACCTTTAGGAGATAGGGCCTAGTGCAAGGACCTTAGATCATCAGAAATAGGACCTCAAAAGAGGAGGACCTGTCCCCTTTCCCTTCTCCACTGCTCCCCCATCAGGTGAGCAGTTTTTCTGTCATGCATTCCCACCAGGATCTCTTATTTCTTCACAGGCTCAAAACAATACACCCAATCAATCATGGGCTGGAACCTCAAAAATGAGGCCAAAATATATCTTTTAAACTGGAGGCGTAGCTTGCTAGTAGACCGAATACGCCTTTCTTAAGTTAATTATCTCAGGTGTTCTGTTACAGTGATAGAAAACTGAGTAACGTAACATTCTTGCTTGGCTCCTTGCTTTCTTTGCTGGCTAAAGTTTTCAATCATTTAATTCAACAAGACTGCAAAGCCAAGCTGCTGGTGCAGGCAGCCGGGGGAGCTGCCCTTATGCCTAAACTGATGGTAACAAAGTAGGTGCCCGCCACCTTTCTCACACTATATCCACTGATTAGCATTTACAGAACTCCGTAAGGTTTATTTTTATAAATCTACGTAATTTTGTGTCTTCACTTAATTATGGGTTGAGTTTTATCTCCTAAAAAGATGTTGGGAGTCCTAACCCCGAATGTTTAAGAATGTGACCATATTTGGACACAAGGTCTTTAAAAGGCTAATCAAATGAAGATGAAGTCATTATAGTCAGACCTAATCCAGTATAACTGGTGTCCTTACACAAAGGGGAAATTCTCCCAGCCTTCAGAAGAAAACCATTCTGCCAACACTTGATCTTAGACCTCTGGCCTCCAGAACTGTGAAAGAATAAATATCCCATGTTTAAGTTACACCTGTTCAGTACTTTGTTTCAGCAAACTAATCCACCAGATTCCTTTATGAAGATTTCTGTGCTACAGCGGGTGAACAATGCAGAACAGTGTGACCTCGAGGCTGAAATGCCATACTGGGTTTGTGATTCACTGGAATCAGATTTAAATATCTGTTTCACAATATAATGTACTTCAAAATCATTATACTAAGAGGAAAAAGCCAGGCATAGCAGAATGCATACTGCATCATTTCATTATATAAACTTCTAGAAAATAGTAACAGACCTGTAGGGACAAAAGTCAAGACTGCTCAAGCTGGGGCCAAAGGGGCCTCCGAGGAGCAATGGGAAGGTTTAGTATCTGGAGGCAGGGCAGAGGTTTCCCAGGCTCACACACGTGACAAAACTCATCAAGCAGCACCCTTGAAATGGATGCAACTCACTGGTCATAAATTATATATCAACAAATTTAATTTTTAAAAAAGTCTGTTAGCCTCACCAATACCTTGTTGGTCTGGAAAAGCTTTTCTGTTTTTGAAAGCATCTGAAAGTTAAGTATCCCACAACTGACTGATGAGTAATTACCACTGGGCTGAGTTCATTTGCACCTGGCTGGTCTCTAATGTCAAAGTGGACAGAGTAATTTTTAAGCCCTCCAAAGAATGCCAACAGTTGGATTCCCTGACCACACACCCAGCACTTGTTGCACCCAATCTGCATTATTTCTTGTTGCCTCTATTATGTGTTTCCTCCTGCTGCACTGTGGACTTGGAAGGGCAAAAAACACCCTACATTTTTTCATAAGCACCAATGTATCCAGCATGGTTCCTCGGACACTAAGAAAATAATTAAACAAATGGATTCATCTTAATTCTCAAAATAAATGACTCCTTACCTAATTTTGAGGAGGACTTTATGTGCATAAATGTACTTTCCATCAACCAGAAACTTCAGATCTGCAGTGTCCGGGTTGTCAAACTCCCTCTTCAGTGACTCAGCCACAGTGAGGTGGTCATCAGGTTCTAACAGAGAGACACAAACACTAGTCTCAGTTTATGACCAGGCTCAAATGTGCCTGGTTCTATCGATGCTCTGACAATGCCAGTCCCCCAAATAACTGACCAACTGAGCAATGCTTTTGTTCTAAATTTGAATTCACATCTTTGAAATCCATAAATGATAAAAACTTCACACATAACTTCTTATACATTTGGCTAAGGAACAAAAAAGTCCCAAGTTACCTCACTAAAATTTTAGAATGCTTGAGTAAATATACTAGCCAAAAATTAAAAGTTTTTAAAAATGTTGTTTCCCGGTAAAATTAAAAAACAGTCAAAACAGCCAGGCATAGTGTCATATGCTTATAATCCCCAGAGACTGGAGAATAGAAGGATCGAGATTTCAAGGCCAGTCTGGCCTATATAAAGTAACCCTGTCGCAGGAAAAAAAAAAAAAAAGAAAAGAAAAAAGGAAACAAAACAAGCAGCAGTCAAATAAAAGTACTTTAATCTAGTATTGATGCTGGTTCCTGTTGCTTTTAAGAATTTCAATCAACTTGGTTCACTTTCACAGGAGCCCAGTATTAGGAAACAAATCAGGATTTTGTACATAATGAAGTTGTGATACAAAAACAAATGCTCCAAGCTTTCTTCCTAGTTTTCAGGCTGTGCAGCAAATGGACAGGGACCAGCTCACCCACAGAGAGGAGGCGCCAGGTAACAGCAGGAGTGGCAAAGCAGGCGAACACGTCATCAGTGCAGGAGAAGTGGGTGAGGTGAGGGAGGATCACCGACTGGCCCCGGCACTGGCCCCACATGTACACGTGCCCACCCTGGGTCTTGGCAGCGGACGTGTGGGTGGAGTGACAGGCTGCGATCTCTATGATCCTAAATACACAAGCAAACACCATAGAAACACAGTCAGCAGAAGAAAAAATGAGGTGGTCTCTCCTTCCCCTAGGTTTAACTGATTTGGGGAGTCATTAAAAACAAACAACAAAATAACATACCCCCTCATCTAAATATTCAGGTGACAAAGGTTAGAGCCATAATTCAATGGTACTTGTAACTCATTAGGATCTTGCCACTTCTAGCCAATAGCCTATAAAAATATTTCCAAATTCAAATACAACCAGGTCAAATAGACATTATAAAGAAAGAGATGACTTCATTTTTTGTTATTAAAACATTACTGAAGTAGATAACAGAGATGTGGACCATCGTGAGGCAGGGTCAATAAGTTTTTTAATCAAGGCTTCACTTCTTTGGGCTGGGGATAAAGCTCAGCAGTGAAGTGTGTGCTTAATTAGCATTCGTGAAGTCCTGGTTTCCATTCCTATCCTTAAATACACAAAACAAAAAACCTTCACTTGTTTGAGGGATAAAGGGAGCGTGGTGAAAATTTCTCCCAACTCCTATTGCATGACATAAATTCAGTAGTTTTTACTTATTTTTCTTTATGATTCTGGGGAGGGAATCCAGGGTCCTAAACAAGCTAACAGGTACCCTACCACAGAGCTGTACTCCCAGCCCAAATCTGTAGCTCTACTCAATGGAAAGATTCAACGGGAGCCCAAGAGAGGCCAGGCTCAGCCCATGAACCCAGTGCCTAAGTCTACAACTCACAGGGAAGTAGTTCTCAGAATACCTGCTAGGGGAAAATATTGTTCTACTTATCTAGAATATTTTTTTTTTCCTGTATGAATAAGCCACAAAACATACTCAAAGAAGATGGTGAATACTTTCTTTTACCCCAAGCAAAGTACCCATCTCTACCTTGCCATAGCAGGCTACATTCCAGTAACCTTAGAGATCTGGGCCAGCACTTCTGAGTAGCCTTTGACAAGCCCCTCCTCACTTGCCACTGAACAACCAATTCACAAGCAACACAGATGTTTCTGTCATGTCTCCCATGAGTCACCACCATGGGCCAGGCACACCCCCTGTCTGGATACTATCAGCCTCCCAAGTATCGCACGCAGCCTTAGACTTTCTCCTTGGCCCCGAATCACACCATGCTGGCAGCTTAGCAGTATTCCTGAGACACTGTTTTCACTAGGACTTTTAGACCTGCAGTGCTTCCCACTGGACAAAATCCTGACGCACGATCTCAAGGCCTTCCAGAAATTAGCTTCCCTTCAGTGCTACTTTCCCTGGGTTGCTATGGCCCATATGCCTATGGACAAACAGAAGTATTTCCTGGCCCGTGTCTCCTGGTTATAGAATTTATGTAGGAATGTTCCTTCTCTCTGCTTACAAAGCCTACCTATTTGTTAAGGCTCAAGGTAAGAGATCTCTCATCCACCCCCTGTCCACAATACTCCAGCTGGGTCTTGACAGTTTTTAGGGTAAGGTTTAAGTATTTAGTTGGACTGTAAATTCTTGGCCGGCCAGGTTATTAGCTTATTTTTCTCTATCTGAGCATACAACCATGCCTTACTAAATGCAAGGTGTAAGTCATTTCACTGGCTAACTGGGGAAGACGCAGTACACAGAGTATACACAACAGGTGGGCAAGACCCCATCAGCTGAAGGCTGGCAGTGGAAGGGTGGCAATATCTATCTTCCACTGCCTCCGTAAAGCTGACATCCCCCAACCAAGAGAGAAGATGCTCAGCATATAACATGACTCATACAGGCTGACATGTAATTGTTTTCATGGGTGGCCCACATAATTTCACTGGCTTACTAGATAGCTCTCAGTTCTTGAGAATCCATGAATACTAGAGGAAAAGAGGTTATGTGGAACCACAATGCGGTCTGTGTTTGGAGTCACATGGTACAAGGCTTAAATCCCACTTGCACCACTAGGCCACAGGGGATGTGTGAATATCACTTAGCCTCTAGGCAAATCAGTTTCAATTTTACAGCCGTTCAGGACTCTGTGAGAATAATAAAATGCTAAGTGTCACATACAAAGTCTGATAAGTGAATAAAAGCATAACAGAGGTTTCTTAATATTCTTATTACTATCAAAGGATAAAATTAAATCCATTTCATTTAATAACCCTAATTGTCTTTATTCTTTTCAGTTCTAGAATTGGGTAACATTTCATTCCACAAAATAGAATAAGTATTCCAAAAGAAATGAAGACTGTATTCATAAACAGAGAAGATCAGAAGAAAGTAGACATAAAAATCATAAAGAGCACTGGACATTTCAGAGTTACTTCCCTTATAAGAGGAGCAGGGAGACAAAATAATTAGAAAATAGCATCAGGTTATGTCAGCTAACCTTTTCTGTGTAAGGATCAAGGAGAGGGAATTATATTGTCATGTTGACTGAAACTGGCCAGTTAAGAAAATTTGGCTGTTATCACTCTCATCTTGATTTCTAAGGTCAGATAAACAACTTAGTGAAGAGACATTTAGCATGAGTGATTTCATTTTGATTTTTAGCCTGATCTGCCGGGGCCCAGTGCAGCTTAGGCCAAAACAATGGCCTCCTATCATTTTTGTTTCTCTAGTACTAAACATTTTAAATGACAATACCTCCTTTACAGTAGAGGCTATATATACTTTGATAAATTCAGATTTAGTAAATTATCATTTCCTCAAAAGAAATTGTTTTTGACATATCCATGGATACAGGTCAATCAACTAGATAGATCCAACTCTAATCTAGTGTTCTGCAAAAGAACTTTGCCTGATGGGAAAATGGTCCACACCAGTACTTGGCTTCCCAACAAGCACTTTCTTTTCAACAAATAAAGAAAATGGGAGAAAGAAGTGAAAGAAATTTGTTCATTCAAGAAAAGGACATCCACTACATCCTTCTAGTTTCCTGGCAAGTCTCCCACATCACATCTGAATGTGAGGGCAACAACACAGTCCTCTTGGGTAGCCTGGTGTACTGAGCAGGACGTGCTCTGAGGCAACAATAGTTCATAGAAACCAAGTTACTTCCATTCTTATAATCAGCTTGATCATCTTTCTAAAGAGAAAAAAAAGGGCACAGGATACCAGATTACCATCATCTCATCTTGTGGTAGAGAGGACATGCAATGAAGTCCCCAGCAGAGTTGAGCAATACAGCTTCTTTCTGTGGCTAAATCACTTGACAGCTGCTGCAAACTCTGAAGCCTCCCCCAAGGAGCTCATAATTTAGCTGACACAGCTGTGGCATTGCAAGCAATTTGCAAATGACACCAGCACGGCACGGCAGTCTACTAGTGCTCCAGTGAGTGAGGGAAAATACCTGGGCACATTTACACTGAGCCCCGTGGGTTATTTTGTACTCATCAGGGATGGACCAAGAGCCAATAAGGAAGACAGAAACACATGAGCAATACATGGGCAGAGGGCAGAAACAGCAAGGCTGGAAGGAGGTGCAGTACTAAGTACCTCACAGGAGGGTAAGGGAGATCAGCCAAGAAATGTCAGGAGCTGAAGGGCCTCGTAAATCCAAGGGCAAAGTTCAGTCTTCAGAGAAAGTTACAGCAAGTGGGGAACATTTCGGTGAACACACCAGGTGGGGAGTACAATGGTGTTCTGAGAGTATTAACGTAAAGTGTGACAGAGAAAGACCAGCCTAGGAGGCTAGGTAAGGGAGGCCACAGCAGGGTACCATCACCTCCAAGCCGTGTCACCTAGGAGGAATCAGGTGGCCTGGATACCAATGCAGAGGAAGGAGATCCCAGATACCTTGTCCTGTGAGTCTAAGAAATGACTCTGTGGCAGAGCACCGCCTAGCATGCTCAAGGCCCTGGGTTCCATCCCTACACAAAAAAAAGGCAGGGGAGAAAACCCCAGCCCAGCAGTGTCAAGGGAGATGGAACACAGAGCTGGTCTGAAAGTGGAAGCAGGCTCAACACACAAAAAACAAAGCAGGTAATAAAAGGGAAAGGCCTCGGGCATTTTAGCCACCTCAGCAGTAAAGGCCATGTGGTATTATAGCCTGGTGATCTTTAGATAAACATTACTTAACTGCTCTTGTTCTACTTATGCATTACTTCAAAGACCTATTCAGCAAGGATCTGCAGAGTTTTGGAATAATTTCTGTGTACTTGGGAGACTTCTTAAAATGAAATACTCCCTTTCCACTGATAACAGTCTATGAAAAGTATCACCAACTGGATTTCTACATGGAAAATCAAAGTAACCGAATTCTTACATTCCCTTCTGAAGTGTTTGCCACTAGAACTCACCAACGCTCTGTAACTCGACACAACAGCTGGTGACTCAGGTGGGGCGGGATCAGGCAGACCCAGGGGTGAGAGCAGGCAGACACACAGAGGCCGCTGTCCCAGGATGGCCTCTGAAGTTTACCTGACACACCTGCCCCCAGAGGGGAAGTCAGGGACTGGGTACAGGTGGGGCTGACTGGAGCTGCTGCCAAAGGAATGAGAGTGGAGAAAGTTTAGAAGGAGCCTACAGGTCTAGGCCAGGGACCCAAGCAACTGCCAGGAACCTTGGCTCACCTTGAGTCATCGGATTTTACATCAGATTTCACACCAAGAAGTAAATTTTGAAGCTGGACTTCTCTAGACCTACATGCAACTGGCAAAGACAATAAACTGAGCTAGGCTTTACTATCAGGATGTCTGATATATTTTACACACTTTATGTTATAGCCAATCTTATTAGGAAAAAACGACTATATGTTCTTGGTAAATGGTTTTGTGTCCCCTGGATGGAAATGATACGCAACAACTATATAGCTTAATGGCTGTGAAGGACTAGAAATGAAAAAACAGAGTGAGAAAGGATGTAAAAGAACAGGAGAGGAGCCGGGAGTGGTGGCACACGCCTGTAATCCGAGCACTCGGGAGGCTGAGGCAGGAGGATCGCTGTGAGTTCAAGACCAGCCTGAGCTACATAGTGAGTTCCAGGTCAGGCTCAACTACATAGTGAGACCTTGTTTCAAAAAACAAAACAAAACAAAACAAAACAAAAAAACCAAAAAACAAAACCCCTCCCCAAAAAAGAACAGGAGAGGCAAGAGGTAATTTGTAAGGGAAAAGCGTGGAGAAGAAATAGCAATAATCAAACATCCAGAGCAGCGATTCCCAGGCCAGGTTTGTTAAGAGCCCAAAGTATTACTGATTACCTCAAGAAGTCACAGAATTCTTAAAAACTCAAAGCAAAGCTAGTTTTACATCAATTTAATTAAAATATGCTTTTTATGTAATTTTAACAACAAAGATACAGATGCCAGTCAATCATATACCAAAGTCCAGTACTGAAACTTCAGAAACATTGGGAAGGATGAGTTTGAGACAAGACAATTATGTTAATTTTTAAGTTGCTTTATGTGAACATAAACTGCTGACAGATACTACTGTTCTTCTTCATAAATAAGACTTCTCAAGAAAAGATTTTAAAAGGTTTTCTTGGGTTGTTTAGGCAAAGAATCCAATGTGGGAAGATTTTTCCTTTTCACTTTGGGGAACTGGCACAGAAGTCCTAAAGCCTCACCCCACCCCAAATTCAATTTGCCACAGGCCCCAGAAGAGTCAGAAGGAAGCTTCCTGAGAGAGAAGTCACAACCTGTCTGTAAAGTTCAGTCACTGGAAAGGGTGGAGCACGCAGAGCAAGTCCTAGCACAGACTGAATCTGAGACCAAGGACCAGTTTTGTGCCAGGTCTGAAATCACCACTGAGAGTCAAGCCTTGGAAACTGACTCAATCAGGAACAGGTCATTGAAAACATTCATCCATGATTTTTACAGCCATTACAGCCTAATAATGTTTATGTGAACAACAGCAAGTGCACAGCCAGCTCTGCCTTTTTTACCCTTACAACTCAAAAACAACTATAGTTTAAAAAGACAGGCAACAAATAATCTCAGGGTCTAGCTAAGCAACCTAGCCCTCCAGGCGCTTCCGTTCCCTGCTTCTCTGCTTCCTTCTGCTTCTACCTCAAAGCCTCACAATTTGTCCCCCTGGGTACCAAAGTCAGAAGAGCCTGTGCCATCACTCTAGACCAGCAGTAAACCATGAACAAGCGCTGGTGGAAAGAGATAGCACATTCTGTGAGCAGGTTTTGGTAAATGTGGAAGTACCATAAGAAGCGGAAAAGTGCCATATAAACATATTCTTTTCATTTGAATGTTACCTTAATTTATCCTTTAACACTCTGTTGTTCAGACTAAATACTAAGGGTCGCTCCCCTTGCAGTGGACTGGCAGCCCTAAGGGGCATGTCTGTGCTAACCAAAGCCTCCAGTCTTGCCCCCTTACTGAGTAGCTAGGAAAACTTGGACAAGCCAAGCCAAGGATAGGCTACAGGCGTCTTCTACCTGTACTAGTTCTTGCCTCATTGTCTCCTCTTCTCTGTAATTTTTAAGGGGTCAAAAGTCTGAGATTTTTAATGAAAAAAAGTTTTGTGAAAACTTCGTCAACCTAGATTAAATAAAATTCATTGAGTTCGCAATACAAAAATGAAAACTGAGGTGGCTGAAAAATGACAATTTGGTTCTTTTGCTAAGTATTCTAAAAGAAAAATATAAAGGCTTGTAATAAGTGCTAGGCAATCTATATAGCAATATATTTATTTTAAAATCAAAGAGAGTATGTGAAAAAACCAAAATCATCAATATTAATTTCTACAACTGCAAGCTTGGTTTAAAAGAAAAGTTAACAAAATATTTTTGTAATATTCTACTATGTCAAGAAGTGAGTAAAAAGTCATCAATATGGCATGCCTGAGTTCAGAAAACTTTCAAAAACATTAAGATAATTTAGAAACTAATTCTAGATATGCTAACTACTTAAATCTCTGTACACAGGTATATAAAACTAAAAACTTTCTTAATTATTTTACTCTTCCTCAGAATAGCATGGGGATTAAAATAATGACATAATCTTCAATTGGCAAATTTAATAAGTATCCGAGGAACTGGTTTCACACTTCATTCAAGTTACAATCATTTTTCCAAACCACAGAAGATCAACCTCAAATGCTATCAACTTCCTCTTAAAAACAAAGAGAGAAAAGGTAATTTGTGAGAGAGAACAATATAAAATAGATGTTAGAAGTTAGTCATTGCAGTCTGCACAGAATAGCTGCTGAAGGAATAAATGAAACACAGGTAAGTAAAAATAGGGTATTTAACAGAGTCAATCTCCCCAACCAGTAAGAAGCTGAGTTTTAGAAAGCAAGGAATACTCTACCTAAAGTATATTCTAATGAATTCCCCACATCTATATCATGTCCAAGTCCTGTTTAATCACCAAAGACTACTGAGGTTATTTTGAAAATGCACATTACCTGTCCTTTTCCACAACGACAGGGGTTGGATAGGACTGGTTACTTTTATTGCCAGTGCCCAACTGGCCATAAGAATTTGCACCCCACGCATACACTTGACCTTCATCTGTTAATACTAATGTGTGTGCGTAGCCACAGGCAACCTGGAAGGACAAAAACAAATCCTCTCAGGCCTACAAATAGAAGGAAATGTTTCATTACTTTCACAAAGTGGATTAAGGATCAAAAATGAAAAGAAAGAAGAGGAAGCCTGCCCCAAAAGGCAAATGTTAGTACCCTTCCAGCACTGGCACAGGCTGCGGTGGTCAGGACTTCAGAGACCACCCTGAGCCCTTCAGGGTGCCCATGCAGCCCTTTAGCTCTCAGGTAGCACTCTTCAACCTCACTTGAAACCAGGGAGTGGGCTGAATACGCAAAATAGACATTTTTATTCTTTTTTTCTGATTACTAAAGTGAAACATGTACAATGTGAAAAACAGGGAAAAGTATAAATAGGAATCAGAGTTTCCAGTTTTCCTCTATTTATACATATAGAGATAGGCACCTAAATTTCTTTAAATAATACTGTGTAAGCAGTTCTGTATCTTGTTTCTTTTTACTTAACATTAAACAGAGCACTTTCCCATATCATTGAAAATTCTTCATAAACATCATTTTTGTCATACAGACTTGGCATAATTTACCTAGTCATTTACTAATTGTTTCATTAAATGATGCTACACCTGCTGTCTCTTATTAAAGATCCTTTTTCACTGGTTTCATAGTTTTTGTTTTGGTTTGGTTTTTTGGTTATATCTTCTTAACTAAGTCTATGACTTTCTTTGGTTCCCTAGAATGATTCCCTAGGAGTAGAATTATAGGTCAAAGAGTACGAAGATTTTTAAAGCTCTTAACACACTGCCAAAGATTCTCTGGGAACAGCTGCAACAACTTACATTCTAGCAGCTCTATGGGACAGTGCCCTAGAAACAGAACTCTTCTGAACAGCTACAGCTTAATTCAGCGAAAAGATTTTAGCCTTTACTTCAATAAAGACAGTTAAGCAGCTAAACTTTTCATCCTGCTAAAAAAATTGTTTTTTCTTTTCTTTTTGGGTACCAGGGATCGTGCACTTGCAAGGAAGGAAGGGCACCATTGAGCTAAATCCCTGGCCCAGAAAACCGGTTTTAATACACTGATATCTTTGCCCCTGAAGACTGAAACACACACACACACACACACACACCCCAATGGACATACCCGCTGCACACGAATGCCCTGCAAAGCCGCCACTCTACAGGGGGTTGGCTGGTTGCCACTGCTGCCAAGTCCCAGCTGCCCATTCCCATTGTAACCCCAGACATAGACCTGGGAGAAGATGAGAAAATGGATGGTTATGAAAGACAAACGGCAACCGACTGTGCTGTGAGAAACCTGCCTTACCTGTGTAACACTAACATGGCAAAAGGTTTTTTAAACAAAATATGAGACAGCTGTCTTACCTCCCCAGTGTCCACTACTGCCACTGAGCACATCTGGCCACATGCTATGTTCACAACGACTTTATTCTGTAAGCAGCCAGTGACTCTGCGAGGGATCGTCTGATTAGCTGTGGATCCAGATCCTATCTGCCCAGAGTTATTATAGCCCCAGGCATACACCTATGGGAAAGAGAATGAGAAGTGAAGTCTGTTATCGTATTTCAACTGGACACTGGCTGTACTTATGGTCCCCATCCTTCTCAAAGTACTTGAGAACCTGAAATTCCTGTAACACTTGCAGAGAAGTTTTTATAAAAATCATTCTTACACAATGTATTCTTTTATAAAAATTAAGTTCCTGGTGTTACCTACATAAAACAGTAATGATTACCACCAAATATCATATAACACATAAAAATATTTACTTTGCTTCAGCCATATTCTCCAAGATTTTAGGATTGTCTTTTTTTGTAAATAATCCTTTGGAATAGGAAAGAATAAATCGTTCTTTTATGTTTTGCAGTGAGGGCAGACCTTACTTCATATAGGCAAACTTCATAATATAAACATAACGACTATCAAGAATATGCCAGGGATTTAGCTCAGTGGTTCTGCCACCTGCTTTGCAAGTGCAAGGTCCTGATCAATCCCTGTGATTGTCTTTTTTTGTAAATAATCCTTTGGAATAGGAAAGAATAAATCGTTCTTTTATGTTTTGCAGTGAGGGCAGACCTTACTTCATATAGGCAAACTTCATAATATAAACATAACGACTATCAAGAATATGCCAGGGATTTAGCTCAGTGGTTCTGCCACCTGCTTTGCAAGTGCAAGGTCCTGAGTTCAATCCCTGGTACAAAAAAAGAAAAGAATGTTGAATTTGATTATTTGAATCAAATGGTCAAACTTCCAGGTTGGTAAGGAATTTATAAAACATTACTTAAATAAATCAATGAGCTTTATGTTATTCTCACCTCGCCATCAGATGTTAGGACCAAAGAATGGTAAGACCCACAGGCAACTTCAATGACTTGTTTGTTTGACAAATTAGTAGAGACATGACAGGGCACTAAACCATGATTAGTTGTCCCATTGCCCAGCTGGCTATATGCATTATGACCCCAGGTAAAGACTACTCCTTCTGAAAATAAAAAGAAAGATAACCTTTTAAAATATTTACTTCATTATATGAAGATATATATTACTATACTTGCATAAATGAACATTAAAAATCCAGCTGCAAAGAACTAATCAACTTCTCTATTACAACAAATTTATTTCATGAAAGAATTTCTTTGGCAAATATAAACTGACCTCTACATCAAAGCAACAAGATGAAATTTAAATGTATGCAGTTATAATAGCTGGGGGATATATTTTTAATAAACAGCAGAAAAAAACCTGCTAAAAATAGTAGGGAAAGTATCAAATCAAAAGACAAAAGGTTGTAAGGCTTCTTTACACTTATGAATCTATTTCCTCATCTATAAAATAAGCACTAAATTTTAAAATCTCTGTACTGTATTGCTTATTATACAATATACTACAAAGTCAAAAAGTTCATAAAACACAGATGCACAATTTTACAAATAAGTATAAAGCACATACCCATATACTACTTAGGCTAAAAACTACAATTTATATATTCTCCAAAGTCTCTCATATATGCATCCTGTATAAGAGAATTTAGTGTTTTTGAAATCTAAACAAGTGGAATCATACAGTATGTATCCATTTTCCACCACATTGTTTCCATACTACATACTGATTAATATCCTCTGATCAGTCCTCCAGTTTATTGGTATTTTGTGTTATCCAACTACAGAACCTGTCCACTGAATTTACATTTTGGTTATTGTATTGTTCATTTGTCTTTTTCAAAATTTTTATAATCCCTATAGGTATCTTTAAGCTCACTTATTTTCAAACAATAAACAGGTATCTTGTAACTTGTGCCTGAAAAATATAACATCTGATGTTTAGCACTTAGTTCTGTCTCTTGTTTATGCTTGTTCTCATTTAATAAAGTCTACAGAAAGCCATTGGTTTGGACTGAGCTCCTGCACTAAGTCAAGAGATCAAACCAAAACAAACAGAAAATAAATGTTTATCTGTGTGTGTGTGGGGGGTGTTCCTGAACAGGTTAAATGAAGGATCTCATTTAATCCTTACAGCTCACTGAAAAACTAATCCTATTTCATGGGATGAAGTATTGCCTGATTCTAGAAAAGCCAATTACAGTACAATCTTTAACTGTGTTGTAATTTTATCTTTGCCCACCCATAGTGCGGATTGCTGTATGCCTGGTTATCTTGGACAATGTGCTATGCATTACCAATGAAGTGTTACCTGTAGTGATCTCGCCAAGCCTCTGATGAAGGTGCCTTCCTCTGGAAAGAATTTGTACTAATTTTTATCCTGTCCTTAAAGCACTTCTGGCCCAGTACCTCTAACAAATTCAAGGCTTGTGATTTCTTGGACCAACCAGTCTGATGTGAATTAAACTACAAATACAAATACTACATGGTTAGAAACTCTCAGGGAGTAATTCGTTTCTCTCTTCTTCCCTCCCTTCTTTGCTCAGAGCAAATAATTCTCTTCAGTCTTTGGGACGTGGCTAAGACTTCCCTGAGGAAGCAGCCGCTGTGGTTCCAGCCTGCATGTGAAGACATCTATTAGACTTGTGCCCTCTTCATCTCCTGAGTCAATCCAAACCACAGTTCAGTTTCAGTGCCTAGAAAATGACCTGAAAGCAAGATGGCTCCAAGTTCTCTTCTAACCTTACTTGAAACTTCTTCTTAAATTTGGTTTGATAATTTCTTTCTGCCATGCCAGTTCTGTATGAAAAAATGTTTAAATTTCTTAAAATCTAGAATTATAGTTGTTTTCCATAAAGTGATGGTCTGAATAATCTAACATGGTATCACTAGAAACCCCATGTCCCCAGAATTCATTTTCTAAATGTCAAATTAATTTACAAAGGAATATGTATAAAATTTCTTTTCAGTTCAAATGTTAACAAAATGAATACCAACCTCAAAGAAAACTAAGGTGTAATGTAATTTTAAATCTCATTAGTTTGACCTTATGAAATAGCCACCAGAATAATTCCTTATACTGCTAACTATAGCCATCAGTCACTAGTGTAAAAAGCACAAAATGCCGACAGCAGGAATCAAAGTTTAGTCTCTCATAGGTCGGAAACCTAAAATTTAAAAAGTAGGCTTCTCATGCTCCAGAGTGAGTGCAGTGTTCTTATCCAGTAGTTACACTTATAAAGTAAAAGCCGAAGGGATTCACTGGGCTTACTGTATTGTCATTCATACATCTAAAATGCCAATATCGGTTAAGATTCGATCTGCTATGTTACATAATTCTGATACTCAGATGTATTCAAATTTCATGTTTTCCAATGCATAGTCAAGTTCACCTGGCATAGCCAGCAAGTCTTCCACAATCAAAAAGTATATTCTCAATTCAAGGGTGGTCCTAGTCTTGTTTCTGTTTTGTTTTTTTGTTTGGTTTTTTGGTACTTAGGATCGAACTTGGGTCCTTGCACTTGTGAGGCAGGCAGGGGAACCACTGAGCCAAATCCCCCGCCCGTAGTCTTGTTTCTGAACAAACAAAGCAGCAGCTAAAACTCTCTGTTGAGTTAAGAGCCTATTACCTGTTGTTGCAAGGACGATGTGTGGACCACTCCCATAGCTGAGGGAAGCTATTTTTTTGTCACTTAAAGAATCCAGTCTCCGAGGTTCAAGGGTGCTCTGGACATCACCTAACCCCAGACAGCCACTGCAGTTTGTGCCAAGCACAAAAATCTGTGAGAAAAACCACTACTGATTCAAGCAGCTCTATTTATGATGAGCCTAAAAATTACATTCAAATAGGCACGGTCTTCCTAAAACAAACCGATTCTTTATAAATACAAATCAACTTTCCATGCTTTTAAAAAAATTATCTTTATTTCTTATTATTCCCCAAGATTGTCCATTTAACAAATCTACTACTAAAAATACTGGTGGCTAAATTTTATCTCATTTGAAAAATTACCTCATCATTTACTGTAGTATATAAAACTTCATTGCCAGCACTGCCAAAGACACAAGCCTGACGGATTAACTGCAGTTCTTCCTCAGAACAAAGGGAAAAAATTGGCCACTTTCCCACATCTAGCATCTTCAAAGATGACAGAGTAGCCTGTACTGGCTGAAAAGGAAAAAAACAATAAATACATTGAGATTAATTTTTGAAATACACTTTCTTTGCTCCCACTTCTGCGGAGGAAGGCTAAACTGGTTATGGAGGAATACACGGTATCTATCTCTGAGAGGCCTCGCACCAAGGGAGGAATTTCCCACATGCCACATGCTTCAATGCTGCTCTCATGACAACCAGACACCAGAGGCCTGGATTTGGAATCGGGTCTCACTTATAAATCTTCAGGGACACACGAATCACCCAAGCCTGAACTTTGGTGAATTTCAATGTTTAGTAAATACTTTCAATACTGGCTTGTCCTAAAAGTAGCTATGGAAACTAGACCAGTTATAAAATCAAGAAAGACTGAGAGAAGGGCAGAGAAGGGGCACTGGCATTTCATCTGCTGCCTAAGTCTTAACAAAGCTTTGTAAAACAACAACGCTGAAGATGACACGAGAGAAACAGTCCAATGTTTCAGTTCCTAGGCAGGCTGTAGTTGGCCTTCAATTTGAAGAGTGACAGGGTATCCTGGCTCCTTGCTCAGCTTTGGAACTGTCAGGAAGAAACACCCAGAAAGTATATATACTGGTTTGCCTGAGGAGTTTCAGAAAGCAATAGAAATTACCTAACAGTTCTAGGGACTAAAAGTTCAAAATCAAGGTATTTGGCTCCTCTTGAGCATTGTGAAGGGAAGATTTATTTTAGGCTTCACTTCTTGGCTCATCTGCTCACACTGTGTACCATGTATGCATGTCTCTGTGTCCAAATTTCCCCCTTTTATAAAGTACAGGATTAGGGCCTACCCTAATAACCTCATTTTAACTAAAGTAATTGTATCTGCAATGACCCTACTTCAAAATACCTGCCGTGCACAGGTATTGGGTATTAGAACTTTTAACAAATGGATTTTGGAAGATCACAATTAAATTCAGAACAGCAAATATTAAGATCCTGAGTATTTGTATTCTCATAAGAACATCAAATGTGCACATCATAAAATTGTTTTAAAAGAATTATTTATCTGCCATAGTGGAGATATTTTGTTTGTTTGTTCTCAACTTTCAAAAATGTTTAGGATTACAATAAGATGCATAAACAGTCACTATGCCTCTCATATGGCATGTTTGGTCATTTCCCACAATTACCATCAAACTCGTGTTTGCTTTAACGAGCAAAGACTTTCTAAGGCTTCTGTTTCTCCAACCTTATTAAAAATGAGTTCTGCTACAGAGTCAAGTGGACCAGCTATTTAATTTCTACAGATCTAGAAGAACATCTGTCTCTTCTACCTAGGAGTTGGCTGAAGATGTCCATGAGCCTAAGTCTGCAATGCTGCTCTTTCAAAGACCACACCATTGACTTATAAGATGCCCTGTCCTCAGACTCCTCAAGTACAGTCCACAAAGTCAGAGACCAAGGCAGTCTCACTCACATCACTGGACCCTTGAATGGGGTTAAGCATCTAGTAAGAACCAGTTAAGTGAACAAATAAATGTTTTAACGAATGGCTGTAAGTCCAGAGTCATAGCTCTCCTGTTCATCCCACTTTCTCTAACACCAGCATCCCAGGTCTTCCACTTCCTGCTCTTGGCTCCAGTGGTTTCCATTTCTACTCCACTTAGGGCATATTATCAAATACTACTCTATGACCAAGTTCTCAAACTTTCAGTTCCCTTCTGATCCACAGCCAACAATCTTTAACTTGCATTCAAAGTAAGTTCTACAGAGAGCGGAAGATGACTATGGGGCATCAACAGCTGTGCCAAGGACAATAAACTTAACAGCAGAAGAAAGTAGGGCCACCACCTTTGTACTGAAATTATAGTTGTCCCCTAGTAACCACAAGAGACTGGTTCCAGGACATACCCTATTCCAAAATCTGCAGATGTTAGAACCATTTACATAAAATGGTGTCATATTTGCATATTATCTATAGACATTGTCCCATCAACTTAATCATCTCCAGATACATTATAGTACCAAGCACAATGCAAATGCTATGTAAATAGTTGATATTCAGTATCTTTAAGGTACAATGACCAAACCAAACCAAACAAACAAACAAACAAAACCCAACCATCACAGGTCTAACTACAAAGTACACAAAGGAGGTGTGAGGCAAACGGAGTGGTAGGGGGAGACTGAGGACATGGGAAATGGCAGGAGGCCGCAGTGGGGTGTGGTTCCAAGTCACTTCTACATAGATTCGATGGCATGTGGGAAATTCAAGTTTTTCTTTTAGGAATTTTCTGGAGTTCCCCTCCTCCAGTTTTCAATTTGTACTTTATTAAATGTGAGTGTGGAACTAGTAGTTACAGAGAGCTAACTATACAGCTTTGACTCATTCTTTTCTGGATCGTGTTCATGGAACTAGTGAATGGTGTGGCTGGAAATAATTCTGATGATCATTTTATAGATGGGAAATTTGAAGAAGGGCCAGAGCAGGGCTGCAGAACACTGAATAGTGCCCACCCCATCCAAAAATTCATATCACCTGGAACCTCAGAAGGTATCCCTATTGCAAATCAGGTTTTTGCAGATATATTGAGCTAAGATGAAGTCATACAAAACTGAAGAGGTCCCTAAATCCAATGACTAATGTGCTTTGAAGAAGAGTGGGCCACATAGAAACACACAGAGAAGGCCACATGACAATGGAGGCAGAGAAGGGAGAAGACAGTAAAGCATCTTTCAGAGAAGACACAGCAATGATAGCCAGGAACCATCAGAAGCAGCTGGAAGACTGTTCCCTGTTCGGAAGTAGCACAGTCCTGTTAAACATTTCATTTCAGACTTTCAGGCTCTAGAATTATAAGACAATAAACTTCTGTTGTTTGAAGCCGCTTGGTTGTAGTCATTTGTTACAGCGGCTCTAAGAAACTAATATAGAGGCAAAGTTGCTTGTCCTGCCAACAGCATCCCCTGTGAGTTGGCAGAGCCTGAACAGGGCCGAGCTCCCCTGAAAATACATACCCCTATCAGAGGGAGTCACAGACCCTGTGCCAGAAACGAAACCTTCTATTACTTTCTCTTTTTTTGGTACCAGGGATGGAACTTGGGTCCTTGCACTTGTGAGGTGGTGACACCACTGAGCTAAATAGCTGGCTCTTCTATCACTTTCTTTCAGGCAACAGCAATGGTTAGATTTTTTTGATCAATTTTTGAAGCAGAAATTATTGTTTCTGCAATTACTTTAATTATGACTACATTTTACAAAAGGGTATCAGGGAGTATTCTCTGCAAGATAACCTTAACTGGGAATCTACAATTTTTTTTTAATCTCACAAATACAGGAAATTATAAGTATATGAAAATATAAAATTAGGTCCCTATTTATATTGAATGTATATTTTTAAAACACAACAACTTTATATAGTGATATTGCTAATCTAAGAAACCAAGAATTTTTACAAAAAAGACTTACTTCTTCTCTATCAGACATTTTATTAGAAGAAATTTGTCTAAGGACCCTAAAGAGCTAAAGACAGACTGTCTTATGTTAGATGTTAGCCTAAGCTTCTACCTACTTTAAATTACCTACCTCCTTATATGATGAAGCAATCTTATTTTCTAGGAGGTCTGCTTTTTACTTTTTATATTTTCATTCTGTAAAATTCAAGAACAAAGTCTGGAGTGGCATCAAATGTCTAATGTGGATGTATAAATGTTTTCATTAACACAGTTCTTCTATGTTATTTCTAACGTTCACAACAGTCAGAATATACAAATTGCTATTCTCCTTTTACATATGAGGAAACTGAAGCACAGAAAGACTAAATAATCCTACACCATCACTAGACTGAAGGCAGGCGAGGTCAGTTTAAAGCCCAGATCTTGAGTTAAAAGCTCACATAAAATGCTGCACTCCTGTCAGCCCCACCACTTGTTTGCGTCTGCATCCTCTGCAGGGCTTTGGCTGTTGCTCCCAGGGTCCCTAAAGAAACAGGCAACAATCTCCACTGTACACACTGTCTTCCACTTGACAGGCAGCTGGCAAGATGCCATGGCGGCTACCTCCCTTCTTTATTTTCAAGTAGATTTCTGGATTTTAGCCTGCCCTGATACAAAAATGTGGTTTTATGGATGCCTAGAATCAGGCTGTAAATTTCTTATCAGTTCTCAAACACTTGTCTAGAAGGCATTACCTTCCTGGTCCATTTGTACAGAAACAAACAGTATCCAGCCCATGACTGCTGACTACTGGAATTCCAATGTCTGTGGTTGTTCAATGGAATCTGCAGTCTGGACATTATTAAAACATGCTACTGGTCAGGGGAATTTGGGTCTGAGATGTAATCATTCCTTTTGCGAGGTCACACACTAATGAAAACAATTACAATGGAACTTAAGAACACCAGAAATGTGACTATCTTGCTTTTCAAAATCTGTCAGAAGGTAGCTGTAGGATGGTAGTCATCAAAGATTCATTTTTTTTTAAGTCTATGGGGTACCATTATGAAGGGAACTGGTGACTTCATTTGTGAACACATATAGCTACTATTTATTTATTTATTCATTCATTCATTCATTCATTTGGTTTTTTGAGACAGGTCTCACTATGTAGTTGAGACTGACCTGGAACTCATTATGTAGCCCAGGTTAGTCTTGAACTCACAGCAATCCTCCTGCCTCAGCCTCCCGAGTGCTGGGATTACAGGCGTGTGCCATCATGCCCAGCTCAACTTTAAAAAAAAATATGAGTTTCACATAATTACAGGATCTCTGTTCACAGAAGCACACTCATGAGACAATGTGTAAGGATTCACCACACAGCCCCTGCAGGTGCCTCAATCACCTGACAGTCACTCTGTATGCCAGCAGTTGTCTCTGCAGAAACTCCTAACCATTCTGTGCCCTCCCTGTCAATAAGGGACTGGCTGAGCAAGAACTGGGCATGGGCAACGGACACATCTGTAGGGGCAAACAAGCACTATGAGCAAAGGAGAGCTTGGTACTATTTGTCATTAAGACTGCACCCCTAAAATTCAGTCCTCGTTTTGCCTAGATATGCTCCTCACTACACATAACACTACCCGAGCCAATAATTACTCCCAGGCTAGTGTTCTTTTGCTACTTGGCTCACATCTGGTCCACTTCCTCCACCTGTTGCTGGCATCTGAGAAATGCAAAGTAGTGAGATTTTAATATTATCTGAAGAAAAACGTAACAAAAGAAATATATCCTCCATAAAATTAGAGACCATCTTAGTCCTTTGAGTGTCAGATCCCTGTAGTACCAGGCTTTTGCATCGATATGAGGAATCAAGTGAATGACCACATGTTGCTTAATTACAAACATCTGTCCAGTTGTCACAATTCAACTTAAAATACAGCCATTTATAAAGAATAAAATTACATACTGGGTGTGCCTACCAAAATAATTTTTTAAAAAAGGCAACATGTATCCCGGGTGTGGTGGCGCACAACTGTAATCCTAGCACTTGGGAGGCTGAGGCAGGAGGATTGCTGTGAGTTTGAGATCAGCCTGGGCTACATAGTGAGTTCCAGGTCAGTCTCAACAACATAGTGAGACCCTGTCTCAAAAACATGTAAAATTTTGAAGATTTCCTAGCAATATACACTTTATATGTAATAAGGTAGTAATTCCACTGCTGACTGCAAAACCATTCTTTTATTTTGTGAAATTTGTTTTCAGAAAAAATTAGGGGTTTTTCTATTAAGATTTTGTAAATGTCAAGCTCTCTCAGTACTTTGTAAGCTATACTTGGACCTTTCAATAAGAGCTCACAAATTAATTCTTTAAATCGACATAGGGTGATGCTGTAGTTCAGTTTCAGAAGCTTTGCCAACTTTGTACATTGTGCTGGGTTTGTATAATTAATTTCTATTTTGTACTATAAAAGAGTGGAAAGCAACTAAACGTGATAGGCAATATTAACCTCCTTAATGGTGATGAGCAAGCATTTTATAAGTTTAATAAAATAATACTAGATAGAAATCAACAGGCATGCTAAATGTGTAACTTTTAATATTAACTGGACACTAACTGGACTTAATCTGGCTGACAGTCATGTTCAGATGTGATGGGAAAGAAATAAAGAATATGATAAACCGAGACCCTGTCTTCTAAGAGTATGTATCTTATGACTTTTTAAAAGACTCTGGGAAAGATCTAAATATTGCTTATCTTGGAGACTTTTGCATAACAGCATCATATGCAACAGGAGACCTATGTTCCTCATCCAGCTCAACGTCACTGTGCCCAGGGTCTCCTTCTTTACCCCTGACAATATTGGTTCCGAGCTGGCCCCTTTAGCATTCTACATCCCTAGAATAATTATCAGTTGGTATCACAGGCACTGTACTGTGAGCCCAAAGGAAGGTACTACCTCAGTGATCGTCCCAGCAAGAAACTAAAAGATACCCAATGAAGTATGTTCCATGCAACACAATGCACATGCTCCAAGGGCATGATTTTCTCTAACCTGGCCACTGTCTCCATAGAAAAGGGGAAGTTCTTCTTCCATATGGACTCAGTCTGTGCAGTCCCTGAGAAAAAAGTACGTGGTAAAATCAGGAATCCACATGTTGGCTAAAAATAGGCAGGTTAAAATGACTTTAATTCCATGTCAGGCAAGGAGGTGTGCACCTGTAATCTCAACACTTGGGAGGCTGAAAAGAAGGATCATTTGAGCCCAGGAACTCAAGATCAGTCTGGAAAACTGTAAGACCCCATCTCAAAAACAAAAAAAACCCAGCACCACAAAAAACCCAACTTCTAGCCAACAGGGAAAATAAGCTAAGCTCAAATATGGTGAAAAGAATATAAGGGAATTAAAGTTTAGGCATGGAAGTTAAACAGCTATAAAAGCCACAAGGTGTTGTAACTGTTATGGAAACATTCTACTGAGGTCTCAAAAGTAATCCCAGAATAGCTGTAGGTTCTTATGTCTACAAGGAAATGAGTAAAAAATGTTTATTTCAGAGTTGACTTCCTATAGATAAGGAAAAATAAATTTTAGACCTTGGTCAAATTTTCTCTGGGATAGTTAAGTTCCAAATCACTGTGAAGAGCAGATTTATCAATTCTCAGATCCACTGAAGAATATATGATTTGCTAAGCTGAAAAAAAAAAAAAAAAGAAAAGTGAATGAAAAGGATGAAAGGATGAAATGGCTTTGTTATCCTAAACTTTAACCAAAACTATCCCAGAATAGCAGCATTAGGAATGCAGCAATAGCACTGAATGTTACTCTTTTCATAACCATTTCCACAGTGGTTCCTTAATACTATGAAGAAGTAACAGCAGGGGCTGAAATGACAACAGGAGCAGCCCTTTGAGAAGATGTGCAGGGTCTGTCCACTGCAGTTCAATCAGGACACAACTGTCTCATCATTAAACATAAATAAAATATTATCTCCCCAAAATTGACATTAATAAAAGTTATTATTTATTAGGCTGATTCCTTATTATATAAATAAAATCCAGATTTCAAGTAGTAACATTGGAACATTTTACCTGATACTTGCTACAGTAGTTAGAATCTTATAATCAGATAGATAAAAGATAAAAACAATAATCAAAATGAAGTAATCTTAACAATGTTCCTTATCAATATTTTATGTGCCCTTAAAGATATAAGTAATTTTTTTCTCAGCTCTGAATATATGTCTAGCATATAAGAATAATTCTTACAGAGTAACTATAATGCAAAACAATGACAATTAGTAGTGAATCATTATTTCTAGTGTTTGGAAGCAAGTAAAAAAAAGACATATTTGTTTTCTTTTTTTTGTACCGGGGATTGAACTCGGGTACTTGAGCTTGCAAGGCAGGCCACCAAACCGCTGAGCTAAATCCCCGGCCCAACATATTTGTTTTCAAAAGAGTAACTTAACTTGTCAGCCAAAACTTGATCTGGTTGACAATATGGAAAGACAGCTTGCCACATCTGACCAATTCTATATATTATACTGTTTCCGCAGATCTGTTAAAATCCTAATTTTCACTAAAACTTAGCATAATTGTTACTGTATGTGTGTGTGTGTGTTGCTGGGAATGAAACCCAAGTCCTTTTTTATCCTGGCCAACTATTCTACCACTAAGCTATACCAAGGATTTCTTTTTTGCCTCGTCCTGGAAACCTTTTTCATGTCTTACTCCAAGATTATTAAAATAAAAAATAAGACAGGGAACATAAGAGGAATGAGGGTAAGGCCCAGTGGCAGAGTGCCTGGCTACTACATATGAAGCCTTGGGTTCAATCTCTCTAAACTCAATCCCAACTCCACACACACACACACACACACACACACACACACACGGAAGGGGAGAGAGACAGGGAGAAAAAGAAAAGGGATAAGGATAAAGGAAAAGAATTCCTTTTTTTTTTCTTTTTTTTGGTACCCGGGATCGAACTCGGGTGTGAGGCAGGTGGCAGAACCACCGAGCTAAATCCCTGGTCCTAAAGGAAAAGAATTCTACAGCAAAAAGAAAAAGGAAATAACAAGTGGAGTATAAGATGAATCAAAGTAGACAGGTAAGACTCCTCACTGTACTTTAAACTCTTCTGTTCCTAGTAGAAGGGAGTAAAGGGTTAAGACAAGGGACCAGTAATCCTAAGTTTTAAAGTAGGAAAATAAATGGCTCTCTTCACATATTTATGTAAAGTCTAGACTCTTAAATAGGAAATGTGGTGGGCTGGGGATTTAGCTCAGTGGTGCTATGCCTGCCTGGCAAGCACAAGGTCTTGAGTTCAATCCCTGATGGCGGGGAGGATTAGAATGGTGGCCATTGTATTTATTTAATCAGTCATTTTAAAACATAATTGCATATGTGTCATACAGAAGTTACCATAGTCAAAGAAATGGCTTTTATAAGATTTGATTAGCACTAAATGGGAGATTAACATAATTTCATGTTTGTTGATCATAAAATCTTTCAAGATTTAAAACTGCCTAAAGATTAATTACTATTATAATTACTATTACTAATTACTATTGTATGATACTAAAAAAACTGTAGCTTTGTAGAAAATCATTTTTTTCTTCTACGATTCTAATGTGATACATATATAATAGATAAAACTAGTTTCTCCAATTTGCTCTATTACAAAGATAACATTTTTGGAAAATATGGAGAGTAGCTTTTTTTAAACCTTGTTATCCATGTGATTTCATCAGGTTATTATTATCAATATTACAGGGGTATACTGACATACACTTTTTAAAAATCCACAACAGACACACAGAAAAATACACCCATGATGTGATAAAAATATATTCTGTATAATAACAGTGGCAACAGTTAAACAGTTACCCTCTGCCAGGCATTAGGCCTGACAGTGCCTCATTTAATCTTAAAATAGCTGAATGAACAATCAGAGGCATGAGACATAATTACTGTCTCCTTTGTGAACACATTTCAATAACCAGACCAACAGTCACCAGCCAATCAGGCTCAAAGCTAGCATAAGACCCAAGTCTAATTCCAAAGCCCTTGTTTCTAGACCTACTGTACTGCATGGATATTTTAAGTATTCCTAGCATATTACAAATAAACTTATTTTATATGATTCCATCCAAAAACATTTGTACCTGATTATTTCATATTTCTGAAGCCTGGTATTTTGATGTCCGTAATCCTGTTTCTCCTAAGTCCTTGTAAAACTGTCTTCTTATAACAAGCTTAGTAAGACTGAAAATATAAATAAAAAAATAAATTCTATTACAGAAGAACAAAAATATACATTTTAAATTTGCAGATTTAACAATCCATTATTATTCTAATAAAATGTTTTAAAACTATCAATTCTATTATGAAAAATCAGCACTAGAGGTGTTTAATTATAAAAACATTAAAATTATAAAATGCAAGTTTTGGACATCGTAACTTTCAAGAGAGGGTTTCAACAATTTGGACACTAAAACATGTAAAAACACATACTAAAGAAAATTTGATCTGTAGTATTTAGTACTGAAATTTCTTTATGGGCTGAGGGCAAGGGAAAGAGTTCTTAAATAAAACATGAAAGAACAAACCACAAAGAAAAGACTGGTAAATCTGAGGAAAAGAAAAAATATGCCACAGAATAGTAGAACATATTTGCAACATATACAACAAAGAGCTGGCAAAAGATTAGTATCTACACTATATAAAAGATACCTATAAATTAGTAAGAACAAAACAAAACAGTTAAGAAATAGGCAAATGATACAGGCTATTTACAGTAACAAACATATTAAAAATATTCAAATTCACTGATTTATCATGGGATAACCATGATGAAATCATCTTGTGCATGAGATCTGCAAAATTTGTCATATGCATGACAGAATTTTGATGGAAATTTTTTCATAGGAAAGTTTTGATGGAAGAAATGCCAATAATAAAAGGTCCCACATAATTCTACCAATGAATTTATGTTTCCATTGGTAAGCAGTTTTCAAGATTTTTAACCTTAATCATCTATGTATGAGGGGATATAGTTACCCAATATTAAAAAAAATGAATCTGAATATCACCACTCTAATTTTGTCTTTACTGCAGACGCAAGAATTTAATAAAATTCGATAATGACAATTCATAAAGCCTAATTTGTCACCTCATAAATAAAATGTAATCAACATAAAAAGTAGTATTTTAAATGTCATTGAAGAAAAATCCAAAACAGAAAAAAAAAGTTTAATGTCAGTTTATTAGGAAAAAATGTGTTTTCTGTTTGTGATCTAAATCTGCTTACAAAATCGACTCTTTTCAGAACAGGAGAGCAACATTTCTTGTAGACCCAGGGCACAGGCTGGCATTTGTACTGGTGTGATTTTTATGTTAGTGGCTCAAAATAAGATCATTCCATAGGATTTTACTATGGAATGACAGTACAGTCATCTCATTATCCTAGTATATATTACTTCACTTTTCTTCCCTATCTATTGGTTTGGGGATATATGACTTGGCTCATATACATAGTTAGTTATTCAAATTAAAAGCCCTTTAAGTTTTTTGTTTAAAAAAAAGTCCTTTGTGCTTTGCAAAAATAGCCTCATAAATTTCTTGATCTTGTTTAAATGTAATGTTACTGTAGAATCTTACTGTATTGCAATATAGATAGAAAGTGGTGGGATAAGGAGCTTCTCCAAACAGAAGCTACTTCCACTGGTCTATTTTTAAGAAATGGACACCAAAGAGACAGTGTTTTACAAGAATAGTTTTGCAGAACCAAAAATCTACCAACTAAGATTATCTGCTGTACAACATTTCTTATTCCAGGTGTCTTCCTAAATTTATACAGTTCAATCATTTATTTTCAAATTATTCCTGTTGGGGACAGGTATGAGACGTTACACCCTTAACAACTTACACAGTTGAAGACTAGCACACAAGAAGACGGTCTTTACAACATGGCAAATATATCCAATTCCTAATCTCATAAAGAACAGATCAAATAATTCATTTCCCTGTACAAGCATAATATGTTCAGCAAAGTAATCAGAATTAATCAGTGTGTCTGTTACACAATGTGCCATATTACTTGGTAATACCTCTGACCCAGACAAATAAGCTAAGCTGATTACAGGACATACATTCATTTTTCTAATTCATTCAATAAATATTGATTTATTGCCGGTGGTAGGTACTGAGTGGAAAGCAAATATGTAAATGAGAAAATACAATAATGTGGAGCAAAGGGATATGAGCTTGTAGGTGCCTGTGTTCATATTACTGCAACCCAATGTTGGGCATTTACAGCTGATACACTAAAGTTAATCAAGAGTTTCTAAATGTTGATAGCTGTTCTTTAGACAGGCTCCCATAAAAAAGGACCCCCGAAAAGGAATTTCTGCAGAATAATATTACTACTAGTTATTTTGAAATTCAATGTGATGAGTCAGCTCTTGAAGTCTTGTTTGAGAAACACATTTTTTTATAAAAGTTTTCTTGGCCTGGCAAGTGGTAGGGCACTTGCTTAACATGCGTAAGACTGGGTTCAATCCCCGATACCGGAAAAAAAACCTTAATTCTATTTAATAAGTTTTCCACTTGGGCAATAAATACAATCAATGATTCATGATGCTTGTCTAATCAAAGAAACAGAGAATTAAAATCAATGTCTTTAGGACATCATCATATAATTTGCAGCATGAATGACAGTTCTCAAGTACATCCTTTGATGTGTTACTAGTATTAACAGTTTTAGTGTTATCCTTAAATTACAGATAATATAAATACATACAAATATAAAATAATAAAACAATCTCAATTATCACTTGCAAAAATAGACAATACCAGCTTTTACTTAGCTCCTCTTAAATGAGATGTTGGAAAACAAATAGCAATAGATAACAATAGATATCTACACAGATGCTAATGAAAATGGAACAACTATATCAGGATGGAGAAAACTAGAGCACAACCTTAAAAGAAACAGTATTGTCCTGTGTTTATGAAAAACAGCAAACTGACTTGTAGAACACAGAAACTCAGTTGCTATTTTAATTGTGAAAGGTTTTCAAATTGCAACAAGAGTACTGGAGCAGATGGTGTAAAGTAAAGCTGCGTAGTTTCAAGAGACTACTGAGTTCATCAACATTGGCCTTTTCAATCAAATATGGCAAAATTGTCACTTTTGCTGAGGTTTTTTTTGGGGGGAGGGGTTGGGACAGGCTCTCACCATGCAATTCAGGATGGCCTTGAACAGACTACACAGCTCAGGCTGTCCTCAAACTTGCTGTGATCCTCCTTGCCTCAGCATCCCAAATGTTGGGATTATACACATACACTCTCTCACCCATTTGTTACTTTCAAAAACGAAAAATAAGGAGCCAGGTATGTAGCTCAGTGGTTCTTACTACCTGCCTGGCAAGCTCAAGGTCCTGAGGTTGATCCCCAGTTCCAGAAACAAACAAACAAACAAACAAAAACAAACACCCCCCAACAAACTAAAAAATGTATTAATTTGTTATTTGAATAACATGAGTTGGTACTTGAAAGTTACATGTAAATCCATTTGAAACTGACTTCCTTATGGAGCTGATCAAAATTTTAAGTATACCTTAACATATTTATTAAATAGAATTCCAACTGTTAAAAATGTTGACACCACAACATAAATAATTCCTTCAACAAGAATAGCCCTCTTGATCGTGGCTCATTTCCATTTGCATTCCTTCTGTTCAGTATCATAACCACCCAGCATAGTACAGAAAAGATTACAGTAGAGCTGTTGTAGTTTATATCCAGAATGTCCCCCAAAACTCTCATGCACTCAAAAGCAGGGCTTTTGGAAGGTGATTGGATCATGGGGTGCTATACCTATTAATGCACTGATGAATCCATAACTGAATGTGCTATTAGGAAGTGACATCTAGTTGGAAGAGGCGGGTCACTGGAGGTGTGACCTGGAAGGATGTCTCCCCCGTTTCCTGGCCACCATAGGATGAACAGTTTTCTTCCACGAGACCTTTCTACAATGGCCTTCCTGCCTTGTAGTCAGATGACTATGTCCGCAAGTGTGAGGCAAATTTTTCTCCTTAAATTGGGGGTGTTGAATATTTTGTTCCAGTGACCACAAAAATGACTAAGGTAATACTATCAATTTATGATTTACTCACAGACTGTCACCCACTCATATCTGTTAGCGCCACAGGGAGATACACGTCAGAGTAATGCACAAAAAACTATTAATGCTTAGATTTCCTGGAGATCTTCATGCTGTTAGAAGGGGGTCACCATGTGAATGAGATACACGTTCCTTCCAGACGATGAAAGCAAGGATTATATGGGGTTGCCACTGCTGGGTATGATGCATATCCCTTCGAGGAAGGTAAGCTATCTGTGGATTTCAAGTAGCTATTCCTACAGGCACCGCTATTTACAGCCTTAAACAGGAGTCCTTGATGTCACTCCCAATAATTCTGCTTCTCATCTCCCTTTTCTGGACAACTCTGATTTGCAACAATTCCAAATAAACTTTAAACATAGACACATTTTAATGTAAAAGAGCTGTAAAACCTGAAATTGAGTATGACACTCTCCTAACAACATAAGCAAATTCAATGGGTTCCCTACATTTATACTTCTAAAGTAATGATATATGAATACTGGGTATTTGTACTCTACTTCATTTAAGTGAAGGACCTCAAAGGAACTACATTTTACTTTTTCGTTTTTTGTTTTGTTTTGTTTTTTTGAGACAGGGTCTCACTATGTAGTTGAGACCAACCTGGAACTCACTATGTAGTCCAGGCTGGTCTCAAACTCATAGTGATCCTCCTGCCTCAGCCTCCCAAGTGCTGGGATTACAGGTGTGAGCCACCAGGCCCGGCCTACATGTTACTTTTTAAAATTGTTCCTGTCAGTCTCTTTTTCTAACCCTTCTTTAATTACAGACTAAAGGTTGGTTAAGTTTGTCTGATTTATTCAGAAATCTGTAAAAGACATCATTTAATATTAAAATATGGTATCATATCAGGCAATTTAAACTCCCCTTCTCCATGATTTCAAATTTTAAAAAGCGGTGATCACTCTTACAAAAGAACTTCACTAGTCACCCACATGGCTTAATGTCAAAGGGACATTAAAAAGCAATCACAGAGAGCAGTAAACTGCAAAGAAACTACAACCATCTGTGAGGGACTGGTTGCAGAACCCTTCAGCCCATAGATCCCTAAATCTGCCAGTGCTCAAATCCCTTGCATGAAATAGTGCAGCTAGCAGCTAGCGCATATACTCATCCTCTTCGTATACCTTCAGCCATCACTAGATGACTTACAATAACTAACAGAGTGTAAATACCATGTAAATAGTTGATATACTCTATTATTTAGAGAATAATGACAAGAAAAAAGTGTGCACCTTTAGGACAGGCTCAATTTTAAAAAAATGTTTCAAACTGGAGGCTTGTGGAATCCTAGGACATAAAATGTAAGGTTACAGAGAGCCAAATGTGTATTTTTTCTCAGCAAATGTATAGTGGTTGTTTGGTTAGTCTCTCGGACAAAAGAGTCCCGTAACTTCAGTTGATGTGATGGTCTAAACTAAAATCCTCAGTAATTTGAACTCTATTTGGCAGAAATGATTTTGCACTTATAAAAAGATGACGACATCTGTCACAGTGGTCACAATATGGGCCGCTATGAAGAAGAAATTCGCGATAGCATGCAACTTAATATTTTCTCCCAGAACAACTTAATTTTGAGCCCCAGTTCTCCATTCTGAAAATCACCTTCAACTTATCCCTTAGAATTGCCATCACCGCGCTGTTTAGAATGCAGCCGCGATCTACACTCCCAATTTCCTTTCATTGCTTTTTTCACAGCATTTATAATTTTATAACATAATAATTAAATGTTGGTTATCGTTTGTCACTAGAACAAGCTCCCAGGGAAGGGATCTTCTGTTCACTCAAAAATCCCAAGCACTTAGGACAGTGCTTGATAAAAAATGTTTGCTGAATGAATCTACGTTCAGAACAAGTACTTCCTATGGCTAAATACTTTCTTGTATAATGTATGTTTCATACAGTGATTGTTACAGCATAAGAACCAGAGATGTGACTACTTTAGATAATAATTGTTTCAAGACTTAGGCCACGAGATTTGGACAGAGTAGGAAAGTGAGGAGGAATGAGCTTGGAAGAAATAGCAAATACACAAGCTCTGGAGTGAAGGTCCAGTCAGGGTGCCCCAAAACAGCAGTAAGGGGGGGATCAAGAATCTATCATCCTAGGTGCGTTACCTGCTACTAAATAACACGTATGCACTGTCAAGTAGACAGAAAACGGATTAATTTCACCTAGAGTATTCAAATTCTCCAAGTGTAAATTACTCTTTTATTCCAGCCCCTAAATGTTTGTTCCAATAGCTTATGGACTGCAAGGCACACAGTAACCTTTGTCAGAAACTCTTCGGAGAAGTCCCCAGTCGTAACTGACTTAACCAAGTACCACTGATCCAAGTACCACTGCTCGGTAAAGTGTAAATCCAAGCATAAACTCAATACTGAGGAGGTGTACAGCTAAAAGGTCCAGTAAATATTAAACAGTGATTCTTCTCGAGGCTAAGTGAAAGAGCAACGTTCCAAAGTGCTGTTTGTGAATTCAACCATTTTTATTAGATTCTAACAAAGATTAAATCTATTATATGCATTGTTAGTCTTGAGTTCGAACTGTTGAGACATTTTATACAAATCTATAAAAAAGCCAAAAGTCCATGATGAACCTCCAACTCAGGCAGTAAAGTTTTCTCCGCCTTAGCAGAGAATTTGGAAAGTTTTCAACGTTTGAAAACTACTTCCGGGGCTAACAGAGCAGGATCTTCCGGCTGAAGATTAAATTTCTCCCCTAACCTCCATAGCAGTTCCAAATCGGCTTCGCCTAGCAAAGTCAGACATTTCTACCCAATCCCACCACGTCAGGGCCGACCATCTAAAGCCGAAACTATCTGAGTCAGTGAGCTGATTCTGAGCCCAAGAGCTAGGGGAATACATTTAGGGGATGGGAGCCAAGGGTCGAGGCGACAGTAAAGAAACCACAGGATTCCCACACAGTGCGGAGTGGGAGGGAAAGTCAACACCCAGGCAAACCGCCTCTGCCCGGGCGGGTCGTCTATCAAGGCGCCCTGAACTCGGAAGTTTAAGAGGCTGAGCAGCTCGTAAGCACCGCGGCCCCAGGACCACGCCAACCTCAACCCTAGACGTGGGGTGCACTCCTGCTCAGCGATGCGTGGGCGCAAAGCCTGAAAAAGGATGTAACTCCCACAACACTCATGTGGGCCTCGACCTCGGCCGTGCGCAGGCGCAACGCAACTCCAGCCCGAGGCCTGGGCGGGGGTTGCAGCCTCAGAGGCCCGAGCGAAGCCCCGACCGCAAATTTGCGCATGCGCGGCGACTCCTGGGCCCTCGGCCGGGGCGTAGCTCTCGTCCCCGTTGCCCCTCCACTGCCAAAGAGGTGGCTGGCAGCCTCGTCGGAGTGAGGTGGCCCCCCATGGGGGTACCTGAGCGAGGCCTGATTCGGCTCCGGCGCTTCCCCTTGGTTTCCCCTCTTCTCCACCCCCTTACCTCAGCGGAAGCCCGCGCTGCGTGTGCTCCGCCTCTTGGGTCGCGGTTTCTACTCAGTCGCTGGCCCCGCACTGCCAGGAGTTGGCGCCTCCCCCAGCAGCGGCCCGGCCTCGGCCGACGAGCTCCGGTGCCCAGCTGGTCGGGAGGGGAAGGAAGAGCTGTGCGGATGAGGGGAGGGGGCCGGGACTGCGCCTCGCCCCTCCTCCTCTCCGAGCCGCCCCCGCTCCTCCCCTCGGCGCAGACCCCGGACTCAGCGTCGGGTCTCCCCCGGGGTCCACCTCCTCCTCTCCCTGGGAACTCCCCAGTGGAGTATCTTCACCTTCTCCAGGCTTGTCCCGATTTGGGGCAATTTGCACTTTTACAGTTGCTTTAATATAGTATGATTATTTTTTAAGTGAGTTAAGGGACTAAATTTCATTGTACAGGTAGGCTATCCAGTTTTCCCAACGCCGTTTATTGAAGAGACTGTCCTCTTATGTTCTCGGCAGCTTTGTTAAATATTAATTAACCTTTTAGAAGAAGGCAGTTCCTGTCATTTGCATTTGCCACCCACAGATGAACCCTGAAGACATGTTAAGAGAAATAAGCATGCACAGTAGGACAAATACCGTGTGATCTCAGTGCTGAACGATAGCAGATAAGTTCTTATATGAAAAAATCTAGTTCTAGATATGTAGAAGTGCTTGATGTTTTTGAAAGTAGTAGAATAACACTTTGTAAATAGCTTTTATAAACTGATAGGAAATACTGTGTTTGCAAATAGAATAATTAAACCACCTCTGAACAGTATACAGTCTGTACTTGGTCACTGAGTTGAAGGAAGTGGGATGGAAGAAATTGTCAAAGGTGTTTTGTTAAGTGTATGGCAGAAAATTTCAGCTGACATTGCTCTTAGGTTATGTGCATTTCACTTAAATGTATGTGTAGTGTATGTACTGGACACATGAGTCCTAATTTTATGATATCTAGTCTGTAGGTATTAAAAAGGTTGTCAATGTACGACAAAAGTAGAGTTAGTAAACTAACACATTTTGTATACTTTGTGTTAAAATGTCTTCTGAAAAGGATTTTTGGAAGTGTAATTGTAAAATCACATTTGAGTGACACATGTGCCTCTATCTTATGTGACAGGAGAGAAGAAATGGGAAGAATTGAAAGATTCTAGGCCAGAATGCTCCTATTTAGAAGGCACTTTCAAATATAACCATTGTTACATGTGTGTAGTTTATTCAACACTACTGTGTATATAGTGGACAAACGAGTCCATATTTGAAACATCTAATCTTTCTAGATATCTAGAAGTGCACAAAGTATGTTAAAAGTACAGGTCGTAAACAACACATTCTGTAGGTATCCTTTTGTTAAACTTAATACTATTTTTAGGAAATGTAATGATCAAACCATTGATCTGAGCAGTAGACATATTCATGATAGTTTAGAGAGGGTGGAGGAAAAGAAAGTACAAAGGGCTCTAAATCAGTGTGGTTTAGGTGAAGTGAGATTGACCACCATCCCTTATATCTGTGCATTTTCTTTTCCTTTCCTGTATATATAGTTGTATATAAAGGACAAAGGAGTCCTAGTTTACATCTAGCCTTTCTAGATGTTAAAGAGGTTGCCAGTGTATGGCAGAAGTAGAATTAGTAAACTAACATGTTGAGTACACTTTGTGTTAAAATTCATTAGAAAGAATGTTCTTAAAATCACTTATTAAGTGAAATTGTTAAAGCCCCCTCTAAGTATTACATATCTACATATCTGTCCCTGGGTTAAAAAGATGGAAAGGGGAAAGGGCTCTAGATGAGAGTGTTCCTATTTAGATGATACTTTAAAATTTAGCCTTTGTAAAGTATATGTGTACAATTTACTCAATGCCAGTGTATATATGAGACATTTTAAGTTCTTAAAACATCTCGTCTTTCTAGAGGTTTAAAGTTCACACATGTAGACATCAAGGGCTAATATAATGTGCTTTAAGTATTTTTTTTTGTTGTTGTTGTTACTTCACAGAAATGGTTGTATTTTGAGAATGGAATTGTCAAACTTGATGTCTTGGAGAATGTGCTGGCTATTCATGGGGTGCAGGAGGGGAAGTATGCAGAGAGGGAGGTTGTATGTGTTTGTCTTGCTATTTATTGTTCTATATGTACATTTTAGTTAATATTGATGGGTATTAAAGGATAAGTCTTACTGCTCAAGTTATGTTAGAAATAGCAAAGTAATTTTTAGGAAGAACTATCTTCTGGAAGTAACCTTTGTTAAAGCCACCTCTTGGAGCTAGATATAGTCCTGAACTTAAGTCACTGAAGTGAAGAGGGAAAAGGGCATTTGAGGGCTTTTGATAGATCTTCATACCTGGAAGATGATTTTAGACTATAACCATAGAACTGTGGGTGTATTTTTGGTAAAGAACTTGGGCATATTGTGCACAAAGTTCATACTCTATTGCACAGCATCTAAGCTTTGTAGATGTCAGGGAGTGACAGTGTGCCATAAAAACTAGAGGTAGTGAGTTAGACAACATGTAAATATCTTTTTGTTATTGATAGAAAAGATGCATCTTGGACTTGGAATTGTTACAACACCTCCAGGCAGTGTGCATCAGGATTTGTCATTAAACTGGCGCAGAGGGGCAGAAATAAGCAAACGGAGAGATGTGAGCAGAGTGTTCAGATTTACGTTTTGGTGAGAGGAATCAAAGTGTCCTCTAGCTATACAGTCGAAATACATTAATGATTTAGTGGGAATATGCCTTCTTGCTAATATCTTAATAGTAGAGATTTGATAACTCAGACACATGACTTGGTGTACTCTGTTGCTTTATGTCTCATTTTAAATTGAACATTAAGGAAATGTAGTATTGTAATTGTAACTTTGCCAGTACTTCTATCTAGAGGCCTAGTGCCATTTTTATCTTCAGTGAAATTCTTGTTCCCAAGAAAGGCAGGATTACAATTTTTTTCTAACAGATCGAATTGGTGTACTGTGTTTTAGTTATCAAAAACATTCTTGTAGCTTTGGGGATTTTGAGTTAATGAATATTCATGATGTGTAGAAAAGCATGACACACACTGTCCAATCTCAGTCACAGAAAATGGCATGTTGTATATGTACCCAGAGGACCTAGAAGAACACATCCAACTAAGCTGCTCATGACTGTCAATGACTTTTTTTTTTTTGCTTCTTGTGTTTCTGTTTCTCATAATGAACATATTAACTTTTAAAAAATAAAAATTATTGTAAAAACAAAAAAATTGTTTTTATAGAAGACCTCATTAATACTATCAAGTTTTTCCATGGCATGATCAGGAAATAGGAAATGTTTTGATTCTAGAATAACATTTCCTGATAAACATTTTTCTGAAACATTTAAGCATTTCCTTATCTGAACATTTTAATACTTTTCTTTGTGTAGCTTCTTGTTGTTATTAATAATACTTTAGTCCAGTGCAACATTATCATCCTGTTAGAGAAAACACTTCAGAAAATCATGTGTTTTATTAGGAAGACATTTTTCATTCAGCCAAGAAAATAAAAATCTTTCACTTAGTGATTAAAATGATAAGTAGTTTTCCTTTTGTCTACATTTAAGCAATTTCAATTTCTTTGTTCTATCAAATTCTCCTAAGAAATGACAAGTTCTTCTATCCAAAAGCATTTTTTTAAAAAATGCTAGGCCTCAGAGTAAAATTGAAAAAGAAGCCTTTCTTCCCTTCTGCATGGCTGGTCCTGCCAGGATATTGCACAGGGATTGGAGGCCAGGCTGACCACCACAGTAGATGAAGGAATTATAGTTGCATGTCCTCGTTATGAAAGTTGCTATGGCAAATTTAATGTAGGAGAGAACTTTGCTCTCCTGGGCCTCAAAATCTGACGTTGGAAACACCAGGAAGATACTCAGAGACCTGAAGCTGGAGAAGAGTCTGGAAAGGCAGGTGTCAAAGGGCATAGTTGAACTTCAACAGGGAGAAGATACAGTCAGGATAAGGCAAGGGGAACAGATGGATGTAGGAAAATAAATTGATAAATGGCTGCCAAAGTCCAGAGGAATTTGAACAATGGCTTTGAGATGGAGAGAAAAAGAACAAGCAAGGATTAGGCAACATTTACATTACGTACATCTCTGATCATTTCTCTTGTGTTCTTCCTAAGCATCAATAGAGTATTCAGAAAGATTTAGTTTATCTCATCTAGGAGAGGGAAAACTGAAAACGGGTTTTTCTGACCACTGTGGGGTCAGAAATCTAAAGGAGGAATAGCTTGCCCTTGACAGCCAGTATGAAAGTAACTAAACTTTGAGCCAGGTCATTTGTAGGTTGTGTGCTAGTTGAATAGATCCTCTCATTAACCTGGTTGCTGAGAGCAGGAATCACTTTCCCATAAAAATAGAGCGTTGGTCCTGATCACAGTACAAAATCAGTAGACCATGGATTCCAGGGTAATGTCATGGCCTTCCCTGTTACGACATTCTTTCTTTGTTCAATCTTCAGGGTCTTTGCTGGGGTGTGTTCCTCCCGCAAAAATCTTGGAGTCTTCTTATAACTTCTGGAAATGTGACATCACTTACAGTCTTCATTTAAAACCGTATTCTTACCCACATTGCCTTTCAGAGGACAGCCTGTCCTGAAGTCTGCCAGAGAGAAGACAAGGCCTTCAGAAAGCTTCTCTGGAACACCAAGAGGTCAAACCTGACCTTGCCATACTATTCCGAATCAACAAGGTCTAGAAAGATACTGTAGTAAATCTGCAACCTGGAAGAAGGGCAGAGACTGTGTCCCCTCCAAGCCATTCAAAGTTGAGGATCTCAGGTTTGCTCTGGGTCAAGAGTGCCATCTCAGCTGGTGGAAAGTTTAAGAACTCCACCTAGGAGAACCTTTGCTGAAACTCTTATTTAGTACCAGTGTCTATTTGATCCTCCCTCCTGAGATCCCTATCTACTAGCTGTTTCCTATCTAGGGCTTTGTATCTCAGACCCAAGCCACCAGAGAAACACTGGAAACCAATCCCTCCTCTCATTTTGTGAGGTCAGGTATAATGTTTCTGTAAGTCAATAGTATAATTAGAACTGATGGTCCATATATATGGAGA